CTGGGGGGTCCACTGCTGTCTCCCCACTTCTGTCTGGGCCACACGAGCAATTGACGTGCTTTTAAAACATGCGAATCTCCTTCTGGAGCGAGATCACTGTGTCTCCATCCCACTCCCAATGTGAGTGAACTGTGGGAAGACAGCGGTGCCCAAAACAGGACATCCTGACCCCTTCCTTGGAAGGGCATCGCCAAAGCCTAACCACGTACAGGATGGATTTATTGGAAGAGCCTGGGACACAGGTGGATCCTGTTTGTGCTAATTCCCCTCTTTCTTCTGCCCCTGCTGCAGCTGTGAAAGAACTTGGTACCCGCTCCTCATAAATCTCTCTCACCCACCACGTCCCGCCTCCCCAAACTAGGGATTTCCCACCCCAGGCAGCACTGGTTTTATAATATTCTCCTGCCTGGTGCCTCTGAAGTGGCAGTAAAATATGAGACCACCCACAGAGAGAGACTCGTGGTGGAATCAGAGCTTCCCCCCACCCCCTTCCCAAGACCAAGGACTTGATTGATTGGCTGAGGTACTCAGGGAGCTGTTATGAGAATGAACATATTAGGGCATGAGGAGGCGGCGGCTGAAGGGAGACAAAGCCCTCAGGCACGGTGGGTCCAGCCATTTTGCCTGAGGTCAAACAGCCAGTCCAATACGAGGCAGCAACCCCAGGCCCCAAAGGCATCTGGAATTCCAGACCATCCCTGCTCTTCCCTCTGCCAGCCAGAGCTGTTCAGAGGCAGCTCCAGCCTGAATGAGCCCCCCGGCAAGGAGGCTGCAGCCTGTGTGGCCCATCAGGAGACAGACTTCTGACTCTCAGCCAGGCGGTGGGACGGACTGCCTGACCCTCAGCTTCAGCCTGAGTCGGACTGCCCAGGCCTGCAGTCGACATTCCAGAGTTGTGCAAAACAAGTGTTTCTTCTGGGAAGGTGAGGCCTGGTCAAGGCCGGAGCTGCTTGGGTGGTATTGGTATAGTGCAGAGTGCCCTGAGTTCTGGGTTAGGATCAAGTCGAGGGCTGCCAGTTGTGCAGGTTGGACACTGTAAAATGACCACACCTGGTAATCGGTGTAGATTTGTAAGTTTATTACAACAGAGTACCAGTAGGTGGCAGCAAAGCGTCTCGAGCAAGGCACACCCTACAGACCATCCCTGGAAGACATTTTTCATTTCTGCAGTCAACAAGGCATGTTGACTAGTGCCCTAGCACATTGTGCTGGATACTGGAGATGCGGTGAGCACCGGGACGCAGCTTCTGGTTTCCAGGGGCTGACAGACTAGATGTTAGGTGCAGGGGCCAGACACTGATGTGTGGTTACAGCACAGAGTGGTAAGTGTTATAATGGTTGTAAGTACAGTGTGCTGTGGGAACTGAGGAGAGACACTTAACCCAGTCAATGAGGGGAGGGCTGTCGAGAAAAACCTAACAGAGTAGGTCTCACCTGTGAGGATCTTGGAACATGAGGAAGAGGCAGCTGGGCAAAGAAGAGCAGGAAGCATCCTGAGCAGAGGGCAGCACATGCAAAGGCTCAGAGGCACACAGGCAGGGGTCATGTTTAGGGAACTGCAGGAAGTTGGGTGTGTCCATCACGTGGGCAGCAAAGCAGAGAAGTGGGCTGTCAGTCACCGGGGTCCAGATCATGAAAGACCCTGTGCGTGACTTTGAACAGGGACTTCTCCATCTGGAGCATGTGGAGAGTGATCCTTGTCCTGCCACCTCTCAGGGTTAACATGAGAGTCAAATATGAGAAGGGACGAGAAGGGGGTTGCAGTGCTTATATGCCAGTGTCACCTATTTAATGTGCTCAGCATCATTTGTCACTCATTGCTCTGTCTGTGGGACAGAGCAAAGTGAGGTGAACCGTAATTCCGTTTCATAACCCTTGTGAGGGTAAAATTATGTTTTATTTATTTGTGGGTCCCCACTACATGGCACCCAGTAGGCACAGAGTAAACCCTTCAATAGTTCTTTATTGTTGTGGATTCTGTTTCAGACCCTAGGCTTTGGAGCTTCTGATGTGCCAGGAACTATTCTAAGTGCTTTATATGTCTTGTTTCATTTAATGTTCACAATGACCCTAGGAGATAGCCACTATTATTATCCCCATTTCCCAGATGCAGAAACTGAGGCACATGGCAGTTGAGAGACTTACCTACGGTTGCACAGCAAGTGAGTGGAGGAGCTGGGACTGTATCCAGGCTGTCTGCTCTGAGTCTTCCATGCGCTGCTGCCTTGTTGCCTAGAAGATCAGGTGAATTTCTTGCCACAAGCTTCCCCAGTAGATGCTATCACCACTTGACAAATGGGGAAACAGATCTAGAGGGTTAAGTGTCTTGTTTTAGAACACATGGTAAGTGAGTAGTAGAGCTAAGATTATGCCCAAGCCTGTATGACTCCAAATCCATGTTTTTTCCAGTATGCCGGTGATTGCAGTCATAGCTTACCATCCTGAGGCCCCAGGCCCACCCATTACTTCTCTTAAACCCAAGCTAGAGAGATGCCTGCCCTGGATCCTGCTCTGGCCCTTACTAGCTACACGCCTCTTGACAGGCAGAGGAGTTACCAGGGCCAAGGGAATGTACCCACCAGGACTCTGCAAATGGCACCCTTAAATAATGCTCTGGGGACACAAACCCTAGAATTCCCTGCCCAAAGGACCTCAGCTCAATTCCTTGGCCCATCCTCTCAAGGGGTGGCCAAGGGACAACTGTTTTGGGGGGCAAGGGGAGTAAATGAAGCTTGGCCACATGGTCTGGACCATGCACAGACCCACCCAGGAAGCCGCAGTGGTGCAGGACAGAGAGGAGGGTGGGCAGGAAGTTGGGGAGGATTACAGGTCAGGGGTGGGAATCAAGACCTGGCCCTCCCTATGCTGCCATGCTCTGAGTGGAACTCCCAAGAATTCTGAGAAGCCTAAATTCTGAGTCTTTGAGATCATTATGAAGTTGTATTTGTCAAGGAAGAAAAATAGATATGTTTTATTTAAATGTTTGCTAGCTTTATTTATCGAGTTTAAATGTTAGACATAGGACACATAGGCTTCTGTTGTTTTCCCCCAGGCCCCACAAATACTAGAAGTGGGCCTGTCCCAGTGTCTGGAATCTGCTAACACTGCCTTTACGGATTCGTTATAAAATTCACAAACTGGGTGAAAAGTTTCCCTCTGCACAAGCTACACACACATTTTATTGAAGACCATCAAAGAGAGAGAAAAACAAAATCTTGCTTTAAAGTAACATTAACAGTTCTTGTCCCACTGCAGTCCTGCCTAGGTGACATCTAAACCCGTTGGCATGCTACGAACTGGGGGCATTAATATTAGAGCTGTCAGTCGGTGACTCAGGCGGGCTCGGGAAGAGATGACCTCCTCTGGCCATGGCTAAGGGTACACAGAGAGATTTTAGAAGCAGACAGACTGAAGCAGTCAGAATTTGTAGAAAAGAATCATCACAAATGGAAGTTTGAAAAAATAGATGGCAATATCCATGTTCCAGGGAAAAGAATAGAAGAAACTGAGAAGAAAGTTCTTGATGTAGTGCTTTTACCAATTATTGTGTGAACCCAATCACGTGGCCACACTGAGCTGATAGGAGAGCTGGGATACACATTTTTATCTGCCGATCTTTAAACTCTCTTACTGTGGAAAAGGGACAGAAAGTATTGGGAAGCAAAGAGCTGTCTCTGTCCAGGAGAAAGTTTTTGGAAATGCTTAGCAGAGTGCTCAGCCCATGGCAGGTGACGAAAACCTAGTAGATTCATCATCCCAACAATCAAAAAGAACAAATGGAAACTTTTGTTACTTTTAGTTTGTGTGTGGGAAGATATCTAAACCCAGAAAGGCCCCAACTTTAGCTGCTATTTTTCAGGGTTGAGCAAAAGCACAGGTGGTATTAGGAGGCCTGGGTTCAAGTCCCTTAGGCAGAGTATTTAGTCTCTCTGGGTTCACGTTTCCTCACCTATAGGACGGAGGTAATAGTATCTACTGCATGGTAGTGGTTGTGAATGTTACATGAGAAAGGCTAAACTCTACAGCACCGTTTCTGGCACAGAGCAAGTACTCGGCGAGGGTTTTTTCATTGTTCTCTTTTCTCTGTTTATTCAACAGATATTAATTGAGCTCCTTTGTATTTTAGCACTCTGGCAGATGTTGGGAATAGAATGATCAATAAGAAAGGTTGTTCCTGACCTTGAGGAGCTGTGTTGTCGTTTAATGGGATATAGGCATTAAACACAGTTATGAATTATAATTAATTATGGTTGCAATAAGTAGTATGAAAGAAGAGTATGAAAAAAGAAGCCATCTCAGAAGAGAGAGGAATTATGGATCAGGATTAGGGTGCTTATGGAGAAAAATGGGCAAGTGGATGAATTTGAGGAATAATTAGAATGTAGAATCGATGGTCATAGGAAGGGAGAAAGGGGTACTAAGGATGATGTCTGCACTTCTGACTTGAGCAATGGATAGATGGGGCTGCCGTTTACTGCGAATGGGGAAGACAGAGGCAGGGATGCAGAAGAAAGTTGACGGAAGGCGGATGGATGATGGACAGACAAAGGGACAAATGAGGACTGCTTCATTGGACAAATGGACAAATAGAGAAATGGGTGAACGGATAGATCAATAATAAGCCCTTGATGGAGTCTACAAGGCATAACTCAACAAAATGATACTGCATTATTTATTTATGCAGTATTCTTTATCTCATTTAATCCTTAACATAACCCTTAGAAATTTGTAGCATGGTTATTAACATCTTTCTTTTACAGAGGATTAAACAGACATGCGGAGTTCAGGCGACTTGACAGAACCAGCACTTGAGTCTTAAATCTTCCCCCCCACCCTCTTTCCCCTCTACTGCACATTTCCTGTAAATAAGGAAAACATCAGCAGTCAAGGTGGGAGGAGGGAGTGGGGAGGTCAAGAATGGGTCTCTGTGTGCACCCATGGGAGAAAAGCGTGAAGCCGTCAGCGTCCTTACTCAGTAGATTTCTTCCTCTCCTTTACAGGTCAAAGTATTTCCATGGAAAGAAGGTGAATGGAGAGATTGAGATCCGAGTAGAACAGGTAAGTGGGAGCTGAGTCTTCAGCACTATCACCCTGACCTTTTCCACGGATGGGGCCATTCCTAGGAGCAACCTTGGTCCCATCTCATGTGGCCGTAATGATCTAAGATTACCACAAAAATCCTAGCTTACACCTGGGAGTCTGGTTAAATTCCAGAAGTGTTAGGTCCAGTGGTTTTCAACCTTTTTGTTTCAGCAGCAGAGCCTTTCTTCAGAGGAAACATCGAGCAGGATCTCATTCAATAAAACAGAGACAAGAAGAGCTGCTCTGACAGGCACGGGGAGCTGAACTCTGCTCCACTGTGCTACCTGCAGTCCCCAAGGCATCTCCTCGCCACCATTTGGTCTAGGGAGCATAGCTTAGGAGCATAATGGGTTTGATCCTAGCTATCTCATTTTCCAGGTGTTGGGCAGGTAACTTAGTTTCTCTGTGCCTTGATTTCCTTGTATCACTGTTGTTGGGATTAAATTACTTAAAACTTCAAAAGAGATCAGAATCGAAAAAACTAGCTCTTGTCGTTACCACAATTATCAACATCCATGTCTCTCATTGTATATGGGAAGGAACACGGACTTGCTCAAGGCTTCATAGGAAGTCAGCGGCAGATTTAGGACTAGAAGGTTTGGTCTCCTGACTCCAGATTAAAGGTTGCTCCCATTTATTCAGTAAGGGCCTCCTCTATGCCAAGCACTGTGTTTGGCCTTAGCAGAGACATTAAAGCATGGGCTCTGGAGCCAGAGTCTAGGTTCAAATCCCAATGCCATCCCTTACTAACTTCGTGACCTTGGTTGAGCAATACTTAAGCTCTCTCCAGCTCACTTTCTTCATCTGTACAATTGGGGTAGTAATAGCATCAACCTACATTTGTAGGGTTGCTGTGAGAATCTAATGAGTTAGTCTGTGAAAAATGCTTAGAATAGTGTCTGGCACATACCGGGCACTTAGCAAATGTTACCTATTTATCATCATCAAAGGTAAACAGTAAATAAGATAGACAAGGTTCCTGCTATAAAACGAATTGAGAGAAGCACAATAAAAATGTACAAAGGAGGGTATGACTGTTCTACTCTGCATTTTTATTAGCTTGGTGTATCAGAGGAACAGAAAGTCCTTCTGAGCATCATACTCAGTTGGCTTCATATTAAAACATCTACAGTTTGAATTTCAGTTTGATCCTGTGTCTTTCAAGTCAATCCAGTGTCTACTGGTTTTCCTTCCACGGCAAAGAGCAGGTTATTTTTGTTTACTTTACAAATATCGGTCAAGCTTCTACTATGCTAGCTAGCTAACATGTGGGAACGAGGTTAGAGAAGCAGAGCCCTGTTTGAAAAAACCTCGTGGTCTAGGAGGGGAGGTGGGGGGAGTCTTCACAGAACACAGGTGGAGGCTGGAGAGAGATGTCCAAATTTAGCACTATGGGTAGCAGAGGTCACAACCGATGGAGGGAGTCAGAAGTGGCTTCAAGGAGGGAGTAGTCTTTGAAATGGGTCAAAGAATGAATGGGATTTCAGCAAGTGGTGACGGTGGTGGGAAGAGCACGTGGGATGGAAGGCAGTGTGAGTAAAGGCAAGGAGAGCAGAAGTGCAGGGTGTGCAGTGGTGGGGAGTCCAGCTTGGTTGACCGCCAAATAGGACACATCGTCTTCCCTGCCCCTAACCTACTTCTCTTCCCTAATTCCCTCTCTTGACGGAGAGCACTGTCATCTACCGTCCACCTTGGCCAGAGCCTGCACAGTCTCCTGGACACAGCCTCTGCCCCCCAACATTGCACCCATTCAGTGACCAGCTCCTGAGGACTCCACATGCCGATTTCCTGGTCTGTCCACTTCTCTCCACCCCATTACCCAGACCCTTGGCTGGACCACCAGTTCACATCCCATCGTCCTCATCAACTGCCTCGTGACTCCACTTTTTTACTCGTCTCCAATTTATTCTTCATGCCCGAGCTAGAGTGATCTTTCTAAGAAAGCAATTAGAAAGTGCCAGCTTTAAAATCCTCTCCTCAAAACGCCTTCTCTGAGCCTTTACCTGATCTAAATCAGGTGAATAAACCAGGCTATTCCCTTTTATAACGCCTCAACTTTTCCTTCCTAGCCCTTATCTGCAGTTTAAACAATGTACTTCAGGTGGGATTATCTGCGTGAGGGTCATGACCATGGCTATGTGGATCTCACTCTGTTAAGTGGCACAGGGCCTGGCACAAACTAGAACTGAAGGAAATATTTGCAGAATGAATAACTGATAGATTCCACAGATTCCCGGCTGCTTGTCAGTTCCCAAGGGTGATAAATCACTGCTCCTTAATCTCCCCTCAAAAATCTGGGTTTTCCCTGAACCATCTGGTAAATGCTCAGTTGCCAGCTGAGCTGGCCCTGCCTCATCCCATTTGCGGCAAGCTCAGAGGCATGTTTTAATTTTCCCCTTTTATCTCAGCACTGCCGTTGGCCCAACATGCAGGCACAAAATCTATGAGCAGGACCACAGAGCAAATTACCCTAAGAATAACTCACCCTGAGGCTCTGGGGACACTCAGCCAGTCTATGAGGGCTACAATCAGACTGGAAAACCTTGATTAATTTAGGGTCATTGTGATTTTCAGCCATGCCTCTGCATAGAAGCCAGAGGGTGAATTATTCAGGAAACCAATTAGCAGGTCATTTGGGTACTTTTCCCTGGAGACACTTTCCCAAACCTATCCCGGGTTCTGAATCGCCTGTGTTTGCCCACCTGGATCAGTGGGTGGGTCACATAAGCAGCACCCCCAGGAATCTCACATGCATCCTCTAGCACTTGGGAAAAGTCTTAGGATGGAAGCCACTGTTTAGTCTGAGCCAGCCTCACATTTTGGGAGCCTGTCTCCCAACTAAGGGCCAAATTAACTAGATAATTGCACTGTCTGGGTTTTGCTGGACAGAGCAAATGAGTTAGTTGTGGTTGGCCTAGAGGAAGCCTCCGCCCCTCCTCTCCACCTTCTTCCCCCCAATTCAAAACTGCTTGTCTCGGCTCTCACAGAGCCAGGAATGAAGAAACCCTGGGGAGGCCAGGGGGGCACTGCATCACTTTGCATTCTGTCACCCAGAATGCCCTGCTGGCACTGCGGGGGCCTCCCAGCAGCGTCCAGCAGGGCCTGCAGGAATCAGGCCGGGTGGTTGGCATGTCACTCTCCTCTGTTTGTGTTTGAGGCAAAGGGTCTTTTTCTCCACAGGCACAAGTCATCCCTGTGTGGTACTAAACAAAGAGGTTGATGAATGGATTAATATTAAGTAGACTCGCAGTTCTGAGAAATTAGTGAGCTAGGATTTGCTGGGATAGAGCCTCGAGCTCTAATAAAGAAAAAGAAAAAGAAGGGAGCAATCACCATGGTCAGTCTTTGCCCGGTGTTCATGGAGGGACAGGCATGAGGGGCAACAGTGCCTCGCTCCAGCAGATGGAGAGAAAAGCAAGAGGAGGTGAGAACCCTGCCCTTGAGCAGCTCCCAGCCCGGTGAAGGAAGCTGGACAAGCCACAGATTTCCATGTGAAGGCCGGTGACTCCTGTGTGTCCCTGCTCTGTGTGACACTGGAGTTGGGGAGGGGTTAGGCAGATGTGTGTGGATTCCAGGGAAGGCTGTTGGTTGGGGACCTGTTCATCTTCTGCCCTTGCCATATTTCCTCAACATAAATGTCTTCTGAAAACCAAGGTGGGCTTTTTCCCTTAAAAAGGTTTAAATTCTTCAGACCCCATGTTTTTATTCCCTCATAGCCACTTCAGCCTTCAGTCCACAATTCTTTCTAGGAACACCTTTATTTAGAATGGACCTTAGCTGGAGGTATGGAACATAAAGGCCATGTGATAGTTGGAGAACAAGTTGTCAACAAGATAGGGAAGTGGATGTTGGATGTTAATTCAGTTTGGTGGATTGGTAACAGATCAAACATCATCCGCATCAGGAAATGATTACTGATAGACATATACCTTGAGAGAAATATGTCCAATGGTCTGACAAAGGACTCTGTCCTTGGCTTTGTTCTACTTCTCCTTCTTAACAGTGACTTATCAAATTACATTTGCCGGTGACTTGAAGCTGGATGGGAGAGAGAATGTGCTGGATTAAATGTGATACAATCGAATTGAGTGGGGACACAAAATAAGGTCTCCTCCAAAAACTCAGCTACAAAGGAGCAGGACTGGGGAGACCTAACTTATTAAAATCACATGAGAAAATAAAAGACCTAAGATTTGAGTTGAACCTTTCTTAATGTTTGTGGGAGGAAATATGGTGTGAAGGTTTTGATTGTGGCTCCCGAGTAAGACAGACCACAGATGGAATCTCAGCCTCACCATATTTTAGCTATGTTGACCTTCTACTCATAACATCTCTAAGCATCAACTTCCTCGTCTGAAAAATGAGGATAATTTCTACCCTCTAGAGTTATTGTGTGGATTAAATGACTTAATGTAATACTTAGCATAGTTTCTGGTGCACATATGAGGGGCTCAATAAACTATAGTTATGGTTGTTACTCCCCAAAAACCTGATGGCACTTCAGGCTGCATTATCAAAGTCCAGCATTTAGGATGCAGGAAGGTAATGGTCTATACACTTTCCCTACCCCCCACACACTCACACACTGTTTCAGTCACACTCTCAGGAAAGATCCAGTGGTAGTGCTACACTGTAAGGGGATACTAGCAATCTGGAATACCTTAGGAAGAGTGATTGGATGAAGAGGAGCTATGAGGAAAGAGGATCACTTTAAGGAACTGCAGATCTTAAGCTCAGAGAAAGAGAGGTTTCTGGTAGGTGCCAGCCTACCCTTTACAGCTAACTACCATTTGAACGAGTGATTGATAAAGTACTAGCTACCATATGTTGACTCCTTCCAAGATAAAGCTAAATGCTTTCTACTGTTGAGGTAGGCACTATTATCCCCTCCAACTTATGGAAATTGAGGCTCAGAAAGAACAAGGGGCTTGTCTAGAGTTGCCCAGCTATGTGGCAGGAGTCTGTGTTTGATCTCAGCCAGTCTGACTTGAAAGCCCTTCTCTTATCCACTGTGTCTTTCTGCCAGTGTTGCAGATGTCAAGAACAATAACCAAAATATGTTGGTTAAAGCACTTTACACACATAACTGTATTTCAACCTTGGGACAGCCCTTTGAGATGGGTGCTTCCTCTCCATTTGACAGATGAAGAAGCTGGGGCTCAGAAAGGTTGGACAACCAGCAGAAGTGAATGCTAGAGGAGAAATTCAAACCATCTTTCTGTGATGAACCATCACCTATGTGGTTTCACTGGGATTAGAGTTCAGGCTGATGGTACAATCCTACAGGAAGAGGAATGTCAACTTGGTATAAGCAGAAACCATTAAGCTGTGCCAACTGATGATGAATGGGCCATGTCCCTTTGGTAGGTAGGGAGCCTCCTGTGCTAGAAATGCTCCAGCAGAAAATGGATGGATAATTTGGGATATCCAAATACTATGCAGGAAATGCATGTACCTAATAGGAGATGACCTTTATTAATTTTTCTTTTATTTAGTATTGGGGATAAAGATATTGTATTCAAATAGTTTTAAAAATTTTGAAAAGATATAAAATGATATCTGGTGAAAAGTCTACCTTCTACTCTGCCCCCACCAATCTAGTTCTCTTTCTTGTAGTTAACCATTATTACTAGTTCCTTGGGAAAATTTCCAGTAGTTTTTAATGCAATGAACAAACATGCACATATGCTTTTCATAAATGATAGTTGGTCAGAAAAACATAAACCATTCTAAGTATTTCAGAGGGGGATTTAATAAGCAGGATTGGTTACAAATGTATCAAAAGGGGAAATCATATTTTCCAGAGCCATTACAGTCCTCTGCTTACTGTTGTCACTGCCATTGCTGCTGTGGGAACTGCCACTATTGTCACTGAAGAACCACAAGCCTGCACTCCCACTGCTGCTTCAGGAACTGCCATCCCCTGCTCTGACTGCTGTTGCTGTTGGTGAAGTTTCTATAGCTACCACCAGAAGCAGAATTGTTGCTACCTTCTGCATAACTTCAGTTTCTGCATGAATCCCTCCCATTGAACTGGAACCATGTGGTAAAATAATCTGGGAAGTGTAGATTTTAGTCTTCCATCCTCCATGGTGCAGGAGAGAATATAGAAGGATGAGTGTGGGGCAGTAGGTAGGGACAATAGGTAGTAACTGGTACAGTCCACCCCTTTAGCCACTCAGCATCAACACATACCCTTCTATTTTCCATACTTCCCTGCACTCTGATTTTTCACTTGTATATCTTGGAGTTTGTTCCCTGAAAGTACCTGCAGAGATGCCTCATTTTTGTTAGTAATTGCCTAGGGTTCTGTCATATAGATATGATATACCATAATGTGTTTTCCATAATTTCACTATTATAGACAAATCTAAACCTATGCAATTTCAAGCTTTTGTTAGTTTATCTGTAGGATTCATTCTTAGAAATAAAACAACTTTTTCCAAAAATATTGCATACTGTGGGTGCTATAATAAACCCTGAGGAATGAAGGAATTTCCCCAAAGATGCTGGAAGTGCTCCCAGAAGACAGCCCTTGGCTGTCAGCCCTCTTTTGGAAGTGTCTTGGGTGAGGAGACCTGCCTTGCCTAAGGTCACATCTCTTTCCCGGGGGCATTTACATTCAGTGACTGGCCAGCACAGGACATATAGATCTGACCCAGGCACCCCAATTTGGGACAACTCTAAAGGGCCATCCCAGCTTTAGAGATCTTTTCAGAGTTGGCAAAATCTTCTGCTGAGACTGTGGCCAGCCCAGCTTCTCTCTGTGCCCAGTCCTGCTTCCTTCCTTTTTATTTCCTCATGGTGATGGTGATTCCCAGAGCACTCCCTAATGAACCTTCCCCAGATTAATATCTATTCCAGAGTCTGCTTCCCAGAGAGCCCAACTGTGAGAGTACATTTATAATTTTGGTAGATATTGCCAAATCACTCTCCGTAGAGGGTATATGCATGATCTACAAGACTTGCAGTCTGGATCTCTAGGATTCCACATGACCCCTGCAGTCTGCAGTCCATCCTGCAAAGAATGCTCTCTTGTTTACAGGCAAGGGACTGATGCCGTGCTCTGAAGTACTCCATGATTTGATCTTCCTATTCGACCTCTTCGTGTTTGAAATTCACCAGAGCTTGGCGTTTCTCTGCAGGGCTGAGTCCAGCCGAACTCTACCTGCTCTGATCCACTAAGCCTTGTTTTGTTAACACAATCCTGCAAGATTTATTTGTTGGCTTGGCTTACTCTGACCTCAGATGTTCTGTTTTGTATTATTTTTAAAAGTGTGCAGGTCTCCATGGAGGCCTTTCTCTTTTCAAATCCAAGAACCAGCTGGGGAAATAAAAAAGCAGGTGGGATACTGGGTTGTATAAGCTGAAACGTAACTCATTAGCAGAGCAAGTTTCTCTCCTTAACCAAGGCATTGATTAGTGTGCGTTTATCAGCTTCCAGGGTCTACCTTTAGGTACACCAACTTAGGAAGACTGTAGGAAATGGAGAAACAATAAAAGTGGTTATGGTAAAATAGATTAAAGAATTAAATATAAGTCCTGAAACAATAAAACTCCTTAAAGAAAACATAGGGGAAACACTCCAGGAAGTAGGATTGGGTACAGACTTTACGAATACGACCCCCAAAGCACAGGCAATCAAAGGAAAATAATAAACAAATGGGATTATATGAAACTGAAAAGCTTCTTCATAGCAAAAGAAACAATTAACAGCAAAAAGACAACCAACAGAATGGGAGAAAATACTTGCAAAATATACATCTGACAAAGGATTAATAACCAGAATATACAAGGAACTCAAACAACTTAACAGCAAAAAACCAAGTAACCCAATTAAAAAATAGGCAAAGGAACTGAATAGGCATTTCTCAAAGGAAGATATATGAAAGGCCAACAGGCACATGAAAAAATGCTCAACATCACTCAGCATTTGGTAAATACAAGTCAAAACCACTTTGAGACACCATCTAATGCCAGTTAGGATGGCTAATATCCAAAAGTCTGAGAATGACAAATGCTGGCGAGGTTGAGGAGAAAAAGGAACTCTCATACACTGTTGGTGGGACTGCAAGGTGGTGCTGCCTTTATGGAAAATGGTATGGAGGTTCCTCAAACAATTACAGATAGATCTACCATATGACTCAGCTATTCCA